ACATCAATCCACACTACCCCCACCCCCATCCACGCCAATCTCCACTCTATACCACGCCACACTAATCACCACACCACTCCAGACCACTCCTCCCACCTATACCCATCCATCCACTCCACACCACTCCTCCCACCTATACCATCCACTCCACACCATCCCCCATTCCATACCATCAACCATACACCACCATCCACCCCACCCACCCACCCACACTCCCCACCGCCCCTCCCCCCACCGCCCCTCCCACCCCACACAGGAACCGCCCACCAACTCACATCATCTCCTTCCTTGATCTTGACGCTGTCGACGTTTATCGTCACCTTCGGCGGGTACTTCACCATCATCGTCAGGGTGCGCAGAATCGGTTCCTCGAGCGCTGGGTGTGACACCTGACACGTGAAGTTGGCCTCGTGGTGTTTCCTCTCCGGCGTCAGGTCGAGGTGGCTCCTGACGCCGACCAGGATGCTGTCTGCCTGCCGCTGCTTCGTCGTGTTGATGCTGTTCCGCGGGAAGTCTTCCTTGCCGTTCATCAGCCACTTGATCTGGGGACAGGGACGAGCTTTGTGACTTCGGCCAGTAAGAGAAACGTTTTTTTTATCGAGATTTACTAGGAGGAAACGTTAGCGATAGTTAGATTCACTGAGACGAAACGTTAGCATGTCTACATTCCCTGGAGCGAAACGTTGGCGATATCTCGATCCCCAAAGGTGAAACATTAACCATATTCTGAATCACAACACGCACACTATTAACAAAATGGCTCAGAAATACCTCTCTATACCTATTTTAACATATATACATTCCTGTTTTATTTCTTATGTTTGCTAAATCATTATGCAAATGAATAATCGTCAAACTACACTTCAAAACAAACCTCAGCTGCCGGTGTGCTCAGACCCGCTTCGCACGTGATTCGAACCGGGACGCCAGCTGTTGTGTACATCGGAGACGATTTATCCAAATACACCTGGAATATTCAGATATATTAGCAACATCTCTGCAACGGCATGGCAACAGCATGGACAGGTATGCCACATGCCGTTCTCTGCAATTTGGCCGAGTAAACAGGGGTCTAAGGAGAGAAATATCTTTGGATCTCGCGTGCCATTCTCTGCAGTTTGGCCTTTGCACCGCAACGTAAATGAGAGCAGCCATCTTTATGTATGATTCTAAAATAGATTTGGCTGATATTTATAGAGACAAAAATAATGATTTTATTGGGGATATGATTGCTGACACCTAGAAGAGGGAGGAAGGGAGGGAGGGAGGGAGGGAAGGAGGGAGGAGGGGAGGAGGGAGGAGGGAGGACAGAGGGGGGTGGGGGTAGAGGGTAGAGGGTAGAGGGTGAGAGGGAGGAGGAAGGAGAAAGAGTGGAAGGAGGGGGAGGAAAGAGGTAAGGGGAAGGGGTAAGGGAGAGGGAAGAAGGGAAGAGGGAGAAGGAAATAAAGACACAGAGGAGAAAAGAAAGAAGAAAAAGAAAAGCGAAAAGCGGAAGACAGAAAGGAGAAAAACGCGAGAAGAGAGAGAGAAAAAAAAACTGAATGAAGGAACGCAAAAAAGAAAAAAAAAAAAAAAAAAGAATCAACAACAAAAAAAAGAACAATTGAACCTACCTTATCATCTGCGTCCTTGGGAGGGAAATGCACCGTCAACTTGGCATTCGTGGACTTGAGGTGGCGCTCCCCGTCCGCCCCGCCCACCTGGCACTGGTACTCGGCGTCGTCCTCGACCAACACGGGCCGGATGTACAGGTTGTAGACTCCTGGAGGCGAAGGAGGAGCGCCCGTTGAAGGAGGAAACGGAATTTATATGTATGTTGTGTGTGTGTGTGTGTGTGTGTGTGTGTGTGTGTGTGTGTGTGTGTGTGTGTGTGTGTGTGTGTGTGTGTGTGTGTGTGTATATACATAATATATAATATATATATATATATATATATATATATATATATTATATATATATATATATATATATATATATATACGTATGTGTATGTGAGAGAGAGGGGGAGGAGGGAGGGAGATGTAGATAAACCATATGCCAAATATATCTCAGTATACATAGTCCTGTTGCTTTTTTTTATTATTATCATGCTATAGTCAGTACCTTCTTCATCATTGACTATCATCTTGTATCTGCTGAAGCCATGGAGATCTGTATCTGTTCCGAGTCCGAAGCCATCTTTGGTCCACTGCACAACGCCCCGTCTGTCCTTTATCTTACACGGTAACGTCACCGCTTCGCCATGTTTCGCTGTCGTGTCTTGTGGTTCTTCCTCGAAAGACTGTTCTCCGTGGACGACTTTGAGCAGTAAGGGGAAAAACAGCAGGAGACTGACTGTTCTCCAACTGGTCGAGTTTTTTACCGTAACCATTTTCATCATAGAAAACGGAGGTTTATAAAGCGTTCATAGAAAATGGTTACTTATTTTAGGGATGACTTCGCTGCTTTGGAATACATCTTATTTTCTTTACACCGACTTGCAGCTCGTTCAGTTGGCGAT